TTAACAATTTTCATAGAATTAAAATAAAAGGAAATCGATAAATTTATAAAAAATAGTATTTTTCAATTTATAAAGATTGTAAATATTCCTATAAATATAAGGATTTTTAATTCTTATTTTATTAATAAAATTAAAAATAAAGGAATTAATAAAATATTTTCCAAATTCTAATTAATTATATAAATATAGAAAGATCAAGAAAAAGATATTGTTTTGATATAATTACTTATAATACAATATATTAACCAATATATTATATTAATAATAATAATTATACTACCTAAAAACAAAATAATTATAAATATTTGTAATATTATATAAGTATATACACAATTGATATTGAATTTAATTTAGAAATTTTATACTTGATTATTATTAAAAATAGATATTCCAAAAATTTTTATCTTGCAAATTGTACAATTATTATATAGTATTCCGAAAATAGGAAATCACTAGTTTAATATCTACTATAAACATTATACCAATACTTTCAAAATAATATAATCAACCTACAATCCATATTTGTTATATATAACTAAAAATAACATAGTATTTGATATTATCAAACTATAAACAAATAATATACTTATTATAACTAATAAAGTATTCACAGATTATAAACAAGCTGAGTTCAAAAATACTAAATTTATAGCAAAAGAATATGAAATATTTATATCAAATATATTATTTAAATTTAATAATAATTTAATTATTTAACGAAATAATAGTATAATCTATTTTAATTAGAAAAAATAATACGAAAATCTTTGTTTAATCAAATCAGAATTATTTAATATATAAAGTATATATAGCAAGCTTAGAAAATTGATAATAGCAAAAGATTAATATATTATATAATATACTTAAAAAGTATATATAACAATTATATATCAATTAAAGATAGTTTTTGATTTATTATATATTATACAAATAATCAATCCAAAAAAGGAAAATACTAATATTCTCAATAAATATATTCAATAATAAATCAATAACTCAGAAAAAAAATTATAATTTGTTTTATTTGATATAAATTCTTTTAAATTAATTATATTTACAAATATATCTTTTACTAATAACAAAGATTTATTCTTTTAGATTGAATATATTATTGTTTTAATAAACAAATTCGATAAAATTAATATTATTCATTAATTATTAATTAAATATAAAAGAATTATTAGAAATATATTAATATTAAAGCTTTATAATATAGTTTTGGGTTTTGATATTAATATAACAATCAAAGGTATTCTTAATAAGATCTTTCTAAATTACAAGATATTATTGATTATATATATCGATTTAAAATTATTATATAATTATCTTACGAAATTTGATATAATTATTGAAAAGAAATTAATAATTAATATAATAATGATTTGAGAGGTATACGAAAAACGAGAGATTATAGAGATTAAGTAGATTGATAAAGAATCTAATTCTGTAGATACAATAACTAAATCTAAATTATATCAAGTTCTAAAAGATTTGATTAATAATAATATTATAAAGATTAAGGTTATAGAATAGATTGAAAGAGATTAGTGGTATAGATAGTTATATTGAGAAAGGGATATTAGTTAGAAAAGATACGATATGATAATTTTAAAGAATCGCTAGTATTGGGATAGGGATTATGTGATTGATTGTGTTAGTGTATATACTAATACCTCTGTACTATAGTATATACGTTTGTAGCCTTTAGCTTTTAGAATCTTAAGTAATATTATAATAGTGTGAATCATTAGTACTATATTACTTCACTATCCCCATGGTGATACTAACAATAACTATATCATTCAAATTGACACTCTTCTTTCGTTTCCAGATTCTTCACACCTCCTACTCCTCCTACTCCTCCTACTCCTCCTACTCCTCCTATTCCTCCTATTCTTCCTACTTTTCCTACTTCTCCTACTCCTCCTACTCCTCCTACTTCTTTTACTCCTTCTATTCTTTTTACTCCTCCTACTCCTCCTACTCCTCCTACTCCTCCTACTCCTCCTACTCCTCCTACTCCTCCTATTCCTCCTATTCTTCCTACTTTTCCTACTTCTCCTACTCCTCCTACTCCTCCTACTTCTTTTACTCCTTCTATTCTTTTTACTCCTCCTACTCTTCCTACTCCTCCTACTCCTCCTACTCCTCCTACTCCTCCCTGCCTATTCACTCATTCACCCTACCCCCGCACCTCGCACACTTCTCCTCGCCTATCCTCTCCCTTACCCTCAACATCCACATCTCACCTCCACACCTCCTTACTTCACACCCCTCACACTCTTCATAACCCTGCTAAAGGCATACCCATCCGAAGCCCGGAATCTTTCTCCCACTCTCCCTCTCTGACTCTCTCCCCTTCCCAACTCCCCAACTCAATAACTCAAATATAACAAAGTCACAAAGTCACAAGCACACAACCGCACAACACACAACCACACAAGACACAACCACACAACCGCACAACCACACAACCACACAACCACACAAGACACAAGGACAGAAATATCAAAAATTCAATAAATGTCTATTCAGGATCTATATGCCCGCCCAGACATGAGACTTTTATTCTCTAAGCGTGTGAGGACAGAAAGCAAGCAAGCAAAGAAGCAGGCAAAGAAGCAAGAAATCCTTGTTCTTCCTTTCAGAACACCATCCATCCATCCATCCATCTATCCAATCTCTCAAGGTAATTCGCAAACTCCCAATCCGAATCCAAAGACACAAGCCAGCCAGCCAGCCATCCATCCATCTATCCATCATGCACACATTCATTTACTGTAAAATTTATTTTAATATTTGAAATGTATCTAGAACTTGAGATTTTTCCCCTTCAATTCAGAACAAATCTAAAGACTTCCTTTCCTAGGGAAACTAACTCCTTCTACCGCTGCATTATCCACAAACCAACTACACCTCTCTCTAGCTCCTTCATTAACCAATGCACAAGGTAATCCATTTCCTTTTTCGAAAATCTCCTTCATAATCTCCTTCTTTCCACCTCCGGTTGCTACAAAAGCAATCTTAACTCCATGTGTCACCACCGGCAACGTAAGTGTAATTCTCTTTGGTGGTGGTTTCGGACTATCTTCAATCGGCGCAACCCAAGCATCCGTTTCCCTCAAAAGAGCATGTCCAGGAAACAAACTACACGTATGACCATCGGGACCACAACCCAAGAGTAACAAATCGAAAATGGGCAATTTGACCGAATCGCGAGATGCGAAACTGCGCACGAGGAGTTGTTCATACTGATCTGCCAATTCCTGGACATCGTCTAGATGCGCCGTATCGATTGGGTGCACGGTGGGTTTACCCATTTCGGCGGGAATTTTATCGAGGAGTTCGCTTTTGAGGAGTGCATAGTTGGAGTCTTCGTGGGTGAGGGGCACGGCTCTCTCGTCTGCGAAGAAGATTTCCCATTTGGAGAAGTGGATGATGTCGTCGGGACCGCTGGATGGGGCAAGGAGAGCGGCAGCGAGGGTTTTGGGAAGGGAGCCGCCCGATACGGCGATTTTGAAGGCGTCGTGGCGGGTGAGTCCGGCGGTTTGGGCTTGCACAATGTATTGACGGAGAGTGGTGGCCAGGATGTCGACGGTTGGGAATGCGAAGAGATTTGGTTGTGAGCCAACCATTTTTGCGATGTTTTAGATTATGTGTGGGTGTGGGTGGATGTGTGAGAGTAAAGGTGGGAGGATTGGTGAGAGGATTGGTGAATTGGCGGTGGATATTGGTATGATTGAGAAGGTTTCGCAGAGACTTTTGATTGAAAAGAAACCAAATTATGGAAATGGAAATTGAAAGGTTGGAAATTTGTGGGAGATTGATGCGAACGGAGGAGAGAGGGAGTTTTTGATGGTGGGGGTTTGGGTTTTGATGGGTTGGTTGCGATAAGTGGATATTTTTCTTCCTTCTTCTTCTATCTGAAAGCGGTGGATTGATTAGATCGATTGCATGCAAATAATGAATTTTTTATGATGATGACGAGAATGGAAGGAAGGTGATGATGGTGGGGGGGGAATATATAGATAGATATGGATGATAGATATGAATATAGTAGGGATATATAGAAACAAAGGTTTTGTTATCAAAATATATAAATTATCTGAGAACGGATTTTATCATCATCATCGTACCTTTTTTCCTTCTTTGGCCTGCGTGGTATGGAAGATTGAGCAATTGGTTTTTATATATATCTGTATATGTATAAATAGATAGGTAAATATCATAAATATCTATATCTGAGGATATAATTGATAAAAAAAAGTTGGAAGATTCTTTCAAGTGAAGACTACGAGTAAAATCGAAGATGATGAGTGAGTGATGTGATCTTCCCAACTTTTATCGGAGATTAATGACGATGTTTCGATTTGATAGATAAGAAGGTTTGCTTATATAATTGATTGGTAAGCGGGAGTGAAGATGGAAATGGAAAGGAGTGAAGAGGGAAATGGAAACAGTGGGAGAGGAAGTACTTGAGTATTGATTGATGAATGAATCGAGATCAAAACTTGATCTTCATGTGTGTTTGAAGTGAGTGATTGAGAAGAATTGGGGTCCAAATATAATATTCCCAAGGGAATTCTGATCTATTATACCTACCTACCTACCTACTACCTACTACCTCCCTACATACATACCTACTCACCCAATATCCTCAGCCAAGCTCACACAAACATGTACAATATACCTACGCACTCCTATCCATATCCATCCAAGGCAAAAGAAGGCATCCAAAACATACGGGAGGAGATACACTTTAGTAACATGAGAATTCCCCAAAGGAAATTCAACCGCCTTGCCATTTGTGATACACATATATCCCTTTAACTTGCATGGCTCTGAATATAGAAATATTCCTTCTCAATAGAGTATTCTGTACCGTGAAGCTGCGGGTGTCAGACGATACAGATTCGTAGGTCAATGTTTCACAGATATTTGGTTGGAAAGGGTGCTGTACATCTCGTCTCAGGTCCACTCGCGAGCCACTCTCTTGAAGTCTATTCCTTCACTCCAATCCATGCATTAGGGATCTTGACTCTTGAGTCCATGAGATTGAAACAGATTATTCCTCGAGGAGTTCCGCTTCGTAATCTCTTAGCTGATCCTGTCTCGAGTAGGTTCACATCTCCGGTCAAGCGGTAGTGCTTCTCGGCTTCAAATCTCAATCCACCAGCTTCACTCCACCGGAATGGATCCCACTCGACCTGAGTAATTGATAACTATCTTTGTTCTAGAACTTCTAGAGACCTCTGATTGTTAATCGTAGAAGAGTTCTCTCACGCGGGTCTACCCCTCCATGATCCATCATCCATTATCAAAATTCCTTCCTTGGTGGGGTGAACTTGTCCTGCGGTTCTGGTGGTCACTGGTCAGTCATACAGAGTACGAGAGTACAGAGGAACACAAAAACATAGCCATCCGGAAATCCCGCGTAAAAAGGGGAAGATCTTCAATATATATTGCTCTTTCCCTGAATCATTGCAGGAAATCAAGGTATATGGAAAGTTTATCGTCACACCATGAATTCCGATTGAACCATACGAAGCATTTTCTCTCTCTCTCATTGTAAGATTACCATTTCATCGGATACTTCCTTATCATCATTCCTTGTATTCCCGCCATGATCCGTTCGCCTTACGAAGCTATCCAAAATTAATTTCCACTACCGCTATCTTGGCGTTTCGTCATACCTGACCTATCAGGTATCACCAATTGATAGCTCAGAAGAACTCACGTGCTCTTGGTGGGGTAACTGCATCTTCGGATCAGGTCCGATCGATACCTCCGCTCAAGCTCCGATTGTTTCTGTACTTTGGTCTTTTCGAGTCAGGGAATTATTATTGAATCCGACATTGATTTGGGCGTCTTGAGTTTGTCTTGTACACGATACCCCTTTTTACCTATCTGAGTTATGGCTTCACCAAAATATCTTACCGGCAATCAATCTGCCATTAATGATTTTATTGATCAATTCGATGTGCGTTGAGTCAGTCCTACAAAAGCTTTGAAGCTTGAATTTGTAGGGTGGATTAAGCTGACTTTCTACGCTCTTCAGGTCTTCTTATTTGATTGTGATGGTATATACGAGAATCAGTTTTGGCAAAGAATGATATGCTAACATGCAAAAGGTGTTCTTTGGTCTGGAGATCATATCTTTCCAGGGACAGTCGAGACCTTGGAATTGTTGAGATCAAAAGGTACGCTCCTCAAATTCCATCTAATCGTGCCCCTCGGAATACACACTGTATTTTCCTCATAGAATAAGAGCTAATCATGTATTACCTACTCTAGGCAAAAAGGTTGTTTTTGTAACAAACAATTCCACAAAATCGAGAACCGAATATCAAAAGAAACTTACAGCTCTCGGCATACCAAGCAATGTTGATGAAATCTTTGGTTCAGCCTACTCTTCCGCAATTTATATCTCTCGAATTCTCAAGCTTCCAGCACCCAAGAATAAAGTCTTTGTTTTAGGTGAAAGTGGTATCGAAACAGAATTGAAAACAGAAGGAGTAGAATTCATTGGAGGAACAGATCCAGCTTATCGTCGCGACATTACACCAGAAGATTATAAAGGAATCGCAGATGGTTCATTACTCGATGATGATGTTGGTGTAGTGTTGGCTGGCTTAGATTTTCACATCAATTATCTCAAGTTATGTCATGCTTACCATTATCTTCGTCGAGGTGCAGTATTTTTGGCTACAAACACTGATAGTACTTTACCATCAAACCATACATTCTTCCCTGGAGCTGGATCTATTTCAATTCCATTAATCAATATGATAGGAAAAGAGCCAACGGCTTTAGGTAAACCAAATCAAGCAATGATGGATTCTATCGAGGGAAAATTTCAATTCGATCGTAAGAAGACATGTATGGTTGGAGATCGATTAAATACAGATATTAAGTTTGGGATTGAAGGGAAACTTGGTGGTACATTGGCCGTCTTAACGGGAGTATCTAAGAAAGAAGAATGGGAGGCTGAAAATGCTCCTGTAGTACCTGCGTACTATGTTGATAAACTGAGTGATTTGAGGGGTTGAGATAGGGACAATTGTGGAGTGATGGAGGGGTAAATGATATGCAATATTACAACATGGAAGTAACGGTATGATCAGTCCCTTACGGAGTAGAATAGAAGATCAATCAAACCCATGAAATAAGGCAGATGGATAGTTGAATGATTGGAAGAGAAGCAAATCGGTGTTAAAGAGAGGGGTTCGGATAAAATAACTAGTCAGGGAAACACGTGTGACTTTGTGGTCAATTCTAGCCCCCTCTACGTAGGAGAAAAAAGAGGCCGATTTTGACCACATAAAATCTTTAATGAAATCTTTGAATTAATTGAATTATAAATCAACTACAAACAAAACAAATAAATCTGAAAATATCAAATTACTTATCATCTTTTATTTATACTAATTCTTATCAAAAAAATTATTTTATTTTAGAAAAGGAGAAGAATTTGGTTTATTGAAAGTATTAAAAAGTAATCAATTCCGGCCTGTTTTTTCTCCTACGTAGAGGCCCCCTCTCCCCTCTCTTAAACGATGGAAATAGAATCATTACCGAGCGATGGCGACCAAGTTTCTGTATGGGTGGTATTGATCGACAGACTTTTTTTCTTCTTGTGACTGCTGGATTTGAATGTTTATCGAATGATTTTGATGGTGTGATAGGAGGTGGCTTGCTTGGTGGTGGCTTTGAGTGCTGGGTAGCTGGAGGGATGTGGAGGTCAAAGGGGGGAAGTGGACAAGGGGGGAAGGGTCAAAGGGTCAAAGGGACCCTGTCTTGTCTTGTCTTGCCTTGCTTTTTCCGCCTTGTGAAAGTCCCTACATACATACGGAGTACATGGGGAGTTGGTCCCTAGGCTCCTAGATACATACCTAGCTGGAGGTACATACATATTGTAAAGGCTTATAAATCCTCGGCTCGAGATTATTAATTGGATATTGGATCTTCGGTATTGGACATTGTATTGTACTTTATAAATTCTAATCGAGCGCAGCGAGGACGGGGGTTTGGGGGCTTGCCCCCATGGTTAGAGGATGGATGGATGGGAGGATGAGAATGAGAATGAGAATGAGTGAGAGAGAGAATGAGTGAGAGAGAGAATGAGTGAGAGAGAGAATGACGCTCCGCTGGGCCACTGCCGTGGAGGCCGTTTTCGCTTCGCTCGGTAGAGGTGTATTGGTATATTATTGAGTAGATCTTAAAGGGGAGGGGGATTTCGGAGTGTACTAGGTAGGTATTCTGTGTGAAGACCCTACATACATACGAGAAGTCAAGCGCGGCGAGGAAGGGGGGCTTGGAGCTTGGGGCTGGAGGCTTGGGGGTTTACCCGCATGAGGGGAGGGATGGTATGGATGATCTGGAGTGCGGTGGGATGCGGTGGGATGTGCCAGTATGAGTTGAACAATACCTAGGTGTAGTTATTTTCTGGACATCTATCGTAGGATTGCATTTTTTAGTTTATTGATTCATATTTATTGATTACCGGTAAACGACTGAGGAATAAAGGAAAGATTAATACTCTACTTGGCTAGAAGCTTTATTCGCTTGACTCCGATCTGTCATGGAAATCTTTGCATGTATATGATGTATATAGAGGGGTCTTGTCTCAGACCCTACATACCGCTACATATATCGAGGCTTGACTTGTGATTTGCCCATGTACCTAGGAAAATAAGAAAATTAAATTGTCAAGATTCAATTCGATAAGAAACTCACCGGAGCATATCCTCCGGCTTTGAATGTGCAAGTTTCCCTTGTTTCGGTAATTGTTCTGGTTTGGGAGGGGCGGCAGGGCTAAGGTGGAAGGCGAGAGTAGGGGTCCTACAGGGCGGATGGATGACTGGGCGTGTGAAATCCTTGACAAAAACCAAATCTCCTCCAAACCCAATACCCCCACCATGACTTCTTCCGCACCACAATATAGTCCCAAAAAAAGACGACTCGTGCAACCTTTTAACTTGGATAAACCACTCTCGTACTTCTTTTATTCTAAGGATCATGCCCAATTCCATTGCACCATGGATGGAGACAGCGACTTGGAGGATGATACCTCCATCTTTGTGGGGAGACGACATGAGTTAACTGAACGATTGGAGGAGAACCCTTACGATTTATTAACTTACCTCGAACGAGCGAGCATCTATAGCGATTTAGGATATCCAGATTTGGCATCGGGAGATAGTTATAAGGCTCTATTGTTATGCGACGAATTGAAGGACGAAAGTTTCGAATATCATGAACAAGCGCTCGAAGCATTCAAATCTCGACTCGCAGAAGGCTTTTCGGAAAATCTTCTCAAGAGACATGTTCCTGGATTGGCAGATACTGGAAATGTTTCAGAGACTATCGAGAGAAGTGGAATTCAGAGGTTGAGTCTGGATGAGGTGGACGAAGAAGTATATATGCGCATCGCAGACAAGGCTGCATTACGATGTTATCAAAATCTCTCATTAAGTCTTCTGTTATGCGGATGCTTAAAGAGTGCTTATGATTTTTGTAGCAGAGGATTGAAAGTCGCTCCTGATGATGAGGAATTGAGTCAAGTGAAGGATTATATTTTCAACATGGCGAAGAGGAGGTTAAAAACCGACGAGGTGGATATTTCCGAATTACCAGATCAAGGCTTAGTACGACGCGAAATATATCCTTGGAATAATCACGAACCCAATCGTTTCTCGGAAGAATCTCTCGACTTTTTAAATCGGGAATTACAAGCTATTTCTTCAAAGGTGGAGGTTAGAGCTGTTGAATTACCTACACTGGTGGAAGCCGCGATTGTTCAGGAGGAAGATGGTCATATACCAACAAACAAGCAATTGGGATTATTTGCAACTGATGATATACAACCCGGCGAAACCGTCCTCGAAGAAACTTCCGTTTTAACGGTTAACAATCGTCTGAAAGATGCTCTTTGCGATGCCTGCAGTACTGTATTACCTCCTTTGGGTAAAAATAGTACAGTAGTAGGATGTCCTGATTGTTATGATATTATGTTTTGTAATGAAACCTGTCTCAATCTCGCCTTGGAAACATATCATCCAGCCATTTGCGAAAAAGACGTCGATACCATCTCCAAAGATCCAGATCCGAAAGAATCACCAAATGCCCTGTATCTTCTCCTTTTGGCTCGCGCATTAGCCATGTCGGCAACTCAAGAACTTCATCCTCTCGATTTGAAAGAAGTTAAATTCATTTGGGGAGATTTTCTCGATTCAGCTAGTAATGCAGTTCCCATTTCTCCTAAATCAGAACCACCACCTGTTTGGACTCTTCCATTTTCTTTCTCGTCAAATATCGCAACTCCTCTTCATATCCTTGAAAAAATGGATATTGATATTTTTGCCGAGATTGCAAATTATGATCTTTGGATTTTGAATACTTTGTATAGTAAATTTAGGGGTACCGCATCGGCGAGAGTTAATACGACAACGGGGATGCCGGAAGTAGCGGCTGTTCACCCTCTTTGGTGTTTGGCAAATCATGATTGTGATCCAAATGTACAATGGGAATGGGGAGGAAGAATGAAATTGTGGTGTAGGGAAAAGAGAATTAATGGGAAAGGTGGTGTGAAGAAGGGAGAGGAGATTTGGAATCATTATTGTGATATTGAATTACCGGTTCAAGAGAGGAGAGAGTGGGCAGAGGGGAGTTTGGGTGGTTGGTGTATGTGTGAGAGATGTAGGAGGGAGGCGGGAGAGATTGATGGGGAGGGAGAGGCTGGTGGGAAGGGAGAGGCTGGTGAGGAGGGAGATAATTTTAGGGAGAGAAGGTTGAATGCGTTTGTGGATGAGGCTGAGGATTTCCTTACACCTACTAATATGGAGGTGAATGGAAAGATTGTAGAAAATGGATATGTGGATGTGAAGATGAGATCATCTGGGAAGGAAGATGTGGTGTCAAATGGAGGTAAAAGGGTAACTGAATAGTTGGACAAGGCAAGCGATGAGCCGGTTGGATAGATTCGAAACGCGGTGGGAAAATAGGGCTGTATGAATTAGTAGGTGTGGCGCGTGGATATATAATCATTGAAGAAGCGATAAGTGGTTGATTTGGATGTATATATGAAGGGGTGGAAGAATGGAGGGATGGTTATTTTATGTGGAAATATTGAATAAAATGGAATGGAAGAGAAGGGAAGATTAGAATTTTGAGATGGATAAAATGAAATGATTTGAGTGTGAGATTTTGGGAGGATTATGTATGTTGTTTGACATTATTGTTGTTTTGGAGATCGAGATGTTTGTTTTAGTTTTGGCAGGGGGGAAGAGGGCAGGGTAGAAGAGGGAAGAGGGAAGAGAGTGCTGTGGATAGTAGATAGTGGGTTGATGATAAGTGATATCGCAATTCTGATGGTTTGCGATCTGAGTAGGTAGTTTTGACGTTTCAGTGCTTGACTGCTTGACTGCTTGACTGCTTGACTGCTTGACTGCTTGACTGCTTGACTGCTTGACTGCTTGGCTGCTTGACTGCTTGACTGCTTGACTGCTTGACTGCTTGACTGCTTGACTGCTTGAGTGTTTGGATAGCATGTAAGATCTGAAGGTCTGATGGTTTGTGGGTTGGTGGTGGTGTGGGATTTGCAGTGTGAATGGTAGATGGTGATGGGAGGTGGTAACTTGACTGAATGGTTGTGGGGGGGGATGAAGAGGTGAGGTGAGGGTTTATATAGTGTGGAGAATTGGGGGATTGGAAGTGGGGAATTGGAATGTCGTGGAGATGGGGGTTGGGATGAGGAGGGAGGATAAGAAGGGAGGATGAGGATGGAGGATGAGGAAGGAGGATGAGGATGGAGGATGAGGAGGGTGGGGAAAAAGAATTGAGGTGGAGGATTGAGATGGAGCATCGAGGGTGCTGGGGAAAGAGGACTGTGGGAAGTGGGAGTGAGGGGACTGGGGAAGTAGGACTGGAAAGTAGGAGTGAGTGGATTGGGAGTAAGGGGAATAGGATGTGAAGGAAATGGGGGAATGGGGGAATTAAGGGGATAGAGTAACGGAGTTACCGTACGGGATGAATGGAACGAGTGGAGTGGATGGATAATACGGATGGTGTAGCTGGTGTAGCTGGCGTAGCGGCGTCGCTGGTGGAGATATGTGGTTTGGGATTTTGTGGATAGGTGGGTAGGTGCATGGTTGAATGAGTGCATGACTTGTATATACTGGATAGAGGATTCGATTACTTGGGTGGTGGGAATTGGGTGTGAGGATTGGTGATTTTTATGTGGCGATTTTGTGATAGGTGGGGCGGAAAGGGGGTGAGGAGTTTTGGGGGCATGGGTAATTTAGCGGGGAGGGGTTGGAGGGCCTGGTTGTGGGATATGAGAGGGGGGGTTAGCAGGCCTGGTTGTGAAGTAAGATGAAAAGGAGAGGTGAGGAGAAGCTGGAGGGTATATGAAATGGGAAATGAGAGGGGGGTGATAGTGAGGGAGATTGAGAGGGGAGAGGGGAAACGGGATGGGAAGGAGAGGTAATGAGGAAGATTCGTGATGAGAGGGAAGTTGAGTAAAGAACGGGAAGTTGGATTGGCTCGGGATAAAGAGTGAAGAGGGAGGGACGATTAAATGGATTTGAATCGCCAGGTGACGCGTACATATGCCAATCTCCTTCCTTGCTAAATTGACGAAGGTAGAAAAATGAATAGCTAGAGGTGGAGGGTATTCGGTCATTGCAGTGGATGCTTGGTAGACAACAAATAGAAAACGCGGGTGAAGGAATCACGATATCACGCAGGCAAAGAGAGTAGGTTGATGATTAGATGGCTGTTTATTTTTGGTATCTATCTGTCTATGATTTTGTCTATTCTAGCTCGTTACAGGAAGAATCAGAAACCAACTCAATGTTCAGGTTGCGTTTGTTGATGCTTGAGCCGAACCATGGACAGTAATGGAAGATCTAATCATGAGAAATAACAGGCGTAATGACGACTTGACTCGGAGCTTCGATCCACAGGCAGGAGGGAATTCAGTGGGTAGGATATTGAGTTTTCCTTGCAGGAAGGAACTTGGCTGGACTGAAATCGATCGAGGTGGTTGTGCTGGCGAGCTGGAGAGGTAAGTCGTGAGGAGTATTAAGGCATAAGGAAATTGGGCAGTTGTAATGAGTGGATGCGTTTGAGACCGCCGTCTAAAGCCAGGCAAATGCGAGGTGATGTTGGGGGTAAGTGAAGTATGAAAGAGTTGTAAAGAGGGGTAAGAGAAGGCGGGATAGATAACCCGGTTGTGGTGGAATGGAGTTGTTAACTAGCGACCAGAGTGAGGGCCGGAGTTATGTTGTCGTTTGGGAGGAGGAGGTGGTGGAGAGGTGTCTTGACAAACAACTTCATACTTTGTATGATCATTTGATAATTAGCATAGCACACTTCATCGTCGTTTTAATAATCACTTGCAATACATCACATTAGCAAGGTCAATTGGAATAGGATTTTCCCAACAAAAACAAAAAGTTTTCATTCTCTATAATCTCCTTCTCACATCCCCCACACATCCCTCAAATCCACCCCAAAAATCCACTCCACAGATTCATCCCTCGAACCTACTTCAAACCCTTGCCCCAAGCAAAATCTCACTCTAAAATACCCGATTTCAAGGTGTAGGGTTCCCAGCATCGTTGCTAGGTGGCGCTGTCTTATCTAGACTGAGCGCAGAGACACCGCTGGTGATGTCATCGGGAACTAGAGGAACACCAGAATGATCATTTGTCAACTGGGACTGAGGCCACATGGCTTGTTCTCTCGATCTTCTGGGAGAAAGAAGGAACGGACTTTTTGATCTCTGGGGAGAACGAGAGCTCCGTCTAGCATTAGGAATAGTCTGTGGCCATCCGCTAATATTTTCAAGAGGGGATTCCTCACGCGCCGACCAGGGACCGCGGTATACAATATCCTGCGATCTTCCTCGAGGAAATGATGGAGAGTTGTCAAACATTGTAGCGCATGCTTGCCCAGGTTTGAACATCTGGCGACCGTGTGAAATATTATGATTAGAATCATCTTTTGATTCATTATCTGTATCGATAATAACATTCTTATTAGGAGTTGTATATAGACTTTCTTTATTATTCTTTGTATACTCTTTATCAATCTTGTTAGCGGCTTTTTTCGAGATATAAGTTATATTACAAGAGTCTTTGACTGAAGTAATTTTGTATATATTATTCAGATTTATCTGCAGGATATTGAATTCGGATTGTTTTGTCTTTGGATATGATTTCTTTTTATTCTTGGATTTGATATCAATATTGTTTTTAATAATTTTTATTTTATTATCAAATATATCTAAACTATTTCGAATAATAATTTGTTTAAATATTATTTTTGAAACCCCTTTATTATTAACAATTCGCTTTTTGAAAGTATCTTCGATCATTAACTGGGCGATAATCCTTGAATCTATATTTGCTTTAATACACACTGCCTTCTCCTTTCTCAATTTTTCATCTTAAACCTTAATAGCATTTAACAAATTTTTCCATTGACCAGATATATCCTGCTTAAATGCCTCTGAAGCTTCTTCAGATATCATTGGTTTTGAGGTAGAAGGCAATTTAGTAAACTTATAATATTTAGATGAAACCTTCCCAAGCAAAAACTATTCAAGACAAATAATCAATAGAACCCGATCTGTTACATAACCTATACCTATAAAGATCCAAATCCAGAACTCAACAAATTTCTTATATCTAATAAACAACTCCAATCCCTTTACAGAATCCTTCTCAAATATATCCCAATCTACTAATTCCGGCTACAAGCGAAAGATATAATCTTTTAAAAAGATACTCTTCACTTTGACATTCAGTTTCTACTCAACCTTTTTGATCTGTACATTATTCTCAACAGACCAGTAATTCTTGCAGTTCCAAGTAGGTGGAGCGTATATCGAGAATTGATGTATCTTACCGCCGGGTCTCATTGGCAGTAGTTCGATATATCGCTTGTCCAATATGGCGTCTCGTTTGGTTATAATTGGAAGATTCTTTTTATAATTCTCTTCCATTCTATGCCAAGCGATAGGATTATACCTGGCTTTGTATGCTTCATGCCTCGCATTAACCCACTTCTGTCTTTCCGTCAATTTACTCTCTTCGGGAGGAGGAGTTTTTGCGGCTTGATCTCTATAGCTGATGCCGGCAACCACCTTTGCAGTATTAGACTCGGCTGGATCTTTAGCCTCTCGGGTATCTTTCTCTTTTTCGACAGTAGGAGTAACTGATTTTTCGCTAGTTCGACCGTCGTTGGATTCGGAAGCCTCTTCTTTCTTGGGCTCTGCCGCAGACTTTGCGTTTTTGGCATCGTCTTCCTTATCCGTGGACGTTTCACCGACTGTGACCTGTTAGTAATTTGTCTTATAAATGGGAAAAAGGATTGATAATAGTACTTACATAGTCTTTTGTAGACGATGCGCTCAATTGCCTCGAGTCTCTCTTGCTGAGGCAAACGCGCAATCGCCCTCTCATATCTGACCTCATCGAACTCGGTTCTGTATTCCTTGTTCGATCTGCCTTCTTCATAAAGCCTATTCAGCATTTCTGGTTGCCTCGAAATATATTTCGCCATCTTGGTCGAATTTTTCAATTTCGAGTTTGTTGTTGTGTTGAGAAAAAAAATCACTGGCGAAAATATTGATAACCTCGCGAAACTGAACTACGGGTCACGTGGGAGCTATTGTTTTGATCAGTATCCGACTCACATCTTTGCACAAAGAACCTGAAACAAGGTAGCGGCAGCCTATAGAAAAGTTCACTCGAGGGCAAGAGGGCACATTTCGCGTATCTCCTCCCCCTTCTCTGGATCGTTTATCTTTCGATTATATAGCCAATTAAAATCACTACAATGTATGATCAGATCACTTGAGCTTGGGTTGTCGAATGTGATTTTGGAATACAGGCATAGTATTGGAGAATCGAATGGTTGTAGACCGTGTACCCTGTAACGCTTTCACTATTACCTACACTACTTTGTACTGACATAGTAGCTTTAGGCATTATGAGCGATTAACGATATGATGATAGTAGTAAATAATGAAAATCACCTAAATAGTCATATCGCCAGCAGAAAGGCACGGAAAGAGATAATTAGCAAGCAAACCAGACAACCTTGGAAATTGATAAATCTTACTAGGACTCGTTCGGATATCTCCTTCGATTTGTTGCCAACACATGGTTGGTGTGTAGATCTAGCTCCAAGCTTGTACGTATATCAACCAAGTGGAGAGTGACAATATATCAACAAGTGTCGATCGAATTTTAATTACAGATTTGACAAGACTTTTAGATCAGGGTTGGGCACTCATATCTCACTCAGGGTATTTGATCCCCTTCGGGTATTGACCCTGCTCTATAACTATATAGTAAAACAAATACTCAGAGTATCCGAAATATACGTTATATACTGATCTCATAATTCTTATTGAATAATAAGATTATTCCCGATTATTATATTAATTCAAAGGATATTGTATAATATTATCAAATTATAATATGATTAGATTAAATAATATCTATATATTTCATCTAATTGTATTTGAATACATTAGATTATATGAAATTTATCTCATATTTAGATCCTTTTCATTAATGAAACCTTTTATAATATTAGTATTATTAATCGTTTATTATATGAATATAGGTGAATAACTTTAATTCAACGACTACTATACTCAACCTAAGCGAATACGAAAGAGACTAGCTCTTTCCTTGATACCTATATAAGGCCTAATATCTTCTATATGTAGCTAGCTCTTTAGACAGAATATAATATAGACGTTTAGAACTGTGAGGATTCATAATAAATCCACTAAATCACTTATTAATATCTTACTAAATAAGGGATATCTTGATGACTAATATACATACAATATGATCTTATATTATAAAATCATATTATTATATAGTTGTATAACAGTATCTCTTATCAAATTGATTTATAATGAAATAAAATGAAATAGAACTAGATGGAAGTATATAGAAAATATCACTAAATTGATTAGTTATACTTTCTTTTTATTATCTAAAATGATTCTATAAGATACGATTTAAATCGATCTTATTTATAAGTATAGAATATACTGGAATTTCATTATAAACTATATAAACCTAGAATATTCTTTAAAGAAAATCTAGGAAAAAGCAAGCAATTCATTTCAACTCAGCCTAGCTCTTTTAAATTGACTTCAATTCAACTTTTATTCTACATATTCGATTTATTCCTTAAGTTTAAACTAATTAGATCTTTCATTATCATTATAATAATACTATTCCTTATTATTATAAAAGCTAACCTTTAAGAAGAACCTACGAATATATAGGTTCTACGTCTTTCGTACCCTTCTCGAACTAATATTCATATTAATCTTTATGATTTTATTAATATTTTGTATTACTTAAATAATTATTTGGATTTATTCGGAGTACACTTGACCGATGCCCAACCCTATGTTAATCAAATTCTCAAATCTTATAGATTTATATCTCTTGAATTTTTGTAGAAATCTTATGTGTTTGAAAAATCACTTTGCTGGATATTTATGATAGTGTATTTATTCTATTGGGATATACTGACGTTACGTAAACACTCATTTAGGCATATTTTGACAACAAATTTAACTCCAAATCGCCTAGAAAATCTATCCGAACGGGTCCTCAAGGGTGTGATACCGTTGATACTATGCATGTAAATCAACGAACCTTGTCCATAACTGTGATGAGAAGAGTCACTACTTCATGCCCCTTCCAAACCGTATAGATGTCACACATTTTTCTCAAAGGGCTACTGTGAGTCCCTCATGTGAAGTCATAGTCAAAATCTCGGGAACTTTCCCACAAACCGCTCGTTCGAAAAACACATTAGAGGCTTTGGGACTCCAACAAAGAGAGCAAGTTGTATAGGAAGATTGTACCTATAGTCGGTACTTTGGGGTTGACACACATTCTGACTTCAATTCTCATGTCTTGACTCAATACTGGGTAGACTCTCGAACCAAGTCTCATTCACCTAGACGGGTAACGTTGAAAATAAGTTCGGCTAAGCCGGTGCTTTCTCGGTAAGTTTGCCCCACTGCGGGGTAAAAGCCTATCTTTCAAATTGATAACGTTCAATCTTGATTTGAAAAAGATACCACGCTCACAAACAATAGTCCCTATATATACATTTATCATAAATCACTATGTCCTCGTCTCATTTTCCCAAGAAGATTGTACTCAAAGGATCTCCAAAAGAGGTAAATCCTCTCTATTCGCACATCTCAAACATCCCCCACTTTCATCTGATAAGCATCTCACATCATTTAGATAGGATTTGAACATGGCAATCTTCTATCTGCTGAGATCAAAGATCAAATGAAGATTTACGATGCGATGTTTCAGTCTACTTCCTCATTAAAATGGCCCGAAGTCCATGAGATCGCCAAGGAATTCCAAACTACAATTCAAAAGCTAACGCCAGATATATATGATGAAATGGTGGGTATTGCCGATGGTGCAGATGTTGATATCTTGGATATTGTAGCACTTAATTGTAGGAGTGAGATTGCTTTGGGTAGATTTACCGATGGTTGTACGAGTTTAGGTTGGAAGATGCAGGGGAAGGATGTAGAAGGGAAGATGGTGTTGGCACAAAACTGGGACTGGACTAAGAATGTTCAAAAGAACTTAGCGATGGTGGAAATAGAAAGAGAGGGAAAAGAAAAGATTTGGATGGTGACTGAGGTATGACTTTTGTCTTCTGTTTCTAATAATTTTGGGCCTAGTGCCTGCTACGATACAGGGCTAACAGAACATAGGCAGGAATAGTAGGTAAAATTGGCTTCAATTCCGCTGGTGTCGGCGTATGTCTTAACGCCATTAGAGCTCGTCCAACACATACTTATAAGCTCCCAATTCACGTTGTACTCCGCATTTGCTTAGAAAGTGATAGCGTGGAGAATGCTCTAGCATCGATCGAGGAATTAGGTGGTGTGGCTTCGAGTCAACACATCCTTATAGCAGATCCTAACAGAACGTTGAGTATGGAGCTTTCACCTGTGGGAAATTGTTTCTTGGAGCCATGTGATGATGGATTTGTCGCACATACAAATCATTTCATCAAGAATGAATTGGTAAGCGAGCCATTTTGGCTCAAGGGAAGTCCGGTGAGACTTGAGAGGGCCAATATTCTGGTCAGTGAGTTAATCAAGGATATGAGAAATGGCCTGCAGATTGATGATGGAATCGAAAACATTTTGAGGGAAAGATTGTTCTCGGATACTTTCAATGCACCGCAAGCGATTTGTTGCCAGGAAGATCCAGAGCGCCCAAAGGAGACGAGGAATAGTACACTGTTCAATATTGTAATGAAACTGGAACCTGGTAACTCGACGGCTGAAGTTTTATTCGGAAAGCCTGGGATGACTGATGGGGAGGTGCTGAAGATGCCATGGATTTGAAAAGGTCTAACCCTGATCTTGAGTTGATGTTTCTCAGCAAGCTAGGGAAGCTAGCGCAGGGTTCTCACCAGTCGGGTTTCAAATATCTGAAAGAAGTATGACATCCAAAGCAAATTCAAAATCTCAAAGCTATTGAATGTACCAATCGTCTTGGAGAGTCTAATTGTTTGAACGTAGTCAAGAGTGAAAGATGGCCACCCCATTTCAAAGCAGCATAAACCCCAAAAATAATTCAACGTTTTAAAGTCATTGAATGTTCGACTCGTATTCTTAAATTGAAAACCTCCAATTGCCTGACTACAGTTTGAACTATTGAGCACCTCGCGCTAGTGTAGAATGACTTCATTTAGAATTCGACTCCAAGTTTGCATTGTGCCTCGGTTTACCCGCACCTAGAGTACCTCCTTTAACATACTACCTTGTCCCAGAGGAGAAAACTTGTATTGAAGTCCGGTTACGCAAAGTCAAAATATAGAGTCAAGCAAAGTAGCATGATTGCCTGGCTGAAGATTCCCAAAGATGACACCATTGAATTCCAAAATCCGCCGAACCTATCTATTTTCCTCTAGCTCCCGTTATATCGTACCATGCATTTAAACGACCCAAGAGCCAAACCCAGTAAACAATTCAAGCGATTCTAGTAATTTGGCCTTTTCCGAACCCCTTTCTACGATTCCCGCAATCCCCAAAACGCCGGTACGATTTAAGAAGTTTTGACGACTTCTACCAATTTCAGTTGAGTATGCTTTCCGTCGCAACTTTATCTCTTGGCGGGTGCTTTACTACCACTACCACTACCAGTACCACTACCACGACCACTACCACTACCACTACCACTACCACTACCACTACCACTACCACTTCCACTTCCACTTCCACTACCACTACCACTTCCACTTCCACTTCCACTTCCACTTCCACTGCCGCCATTACCAGAATTACTTTTTGCCTTCTTCTGTTCTACTTTTGCCTTGAATCTCTGTACTGTTCTCTTTGTCCTTTCTGCCTCCTTCTTTGCTGCCTCCTTCTCTGCTGCCTTCTTTTTCTTTTCAGTACCTGAGCTATCTGGAGAGTCATAACTACCATGGTCGCTCACGAGCGATGGGAGACTTTTGAGAGATGGGAGACTTGCGTCCGACGAGGAGCTAGATCTTGACGTTTTTAGAGATGGACTAATGGACTAATGGATCGAGTTGTAATTGAAATTGATAGGATTGTTATTTTGTTGAATTGACTTTGTCTAACTGGTTTTGAAGAGGTGGAATGAGATGATATGAGATTGGGAGTGAAAAGCACGAAAGGTTCTACATTTATACCGTTCCAACTGGGTCTGGACTTCAACAATTAAGAGTTCAATTTGTTGATAACCGCCAAATTCTAGTTGATAATATCTGGTCAATAAGACCGCCCCTATTTTTGTTCGGTCTGTGAAACGATATGACCGTTAGTGGAGATGTTTGCTTCAATTCAACATGTCTCCTAACCCTTTCCCGGAAGATATCGACATACAAATCTAAATTTAGAAGTGTCCAAGTAGCTACCTAGCTTAACGATCACCAGTACACGCCTTATTGGAGACCCAGAAGATGACTAGTTAGTCCTGTTAAGCCGAGAATTCTTCAATTGCGCGCTTTTGGCCCTAAATCAAGACAAACAAGAGACCTGGTCATTCCATCATGACCTTCTGTCCCACAAATAAAAGTGTGATATCTAAGAAGTAGATGATATTTGGTACGTAATCTGTCCAGAGCTTCCGGAGAACCTGAGTTGAGATGGCAATACTATCAACATCTGCACATAATCACATATGAAAATTACTTGAAATTCATACACTTCCAAAAATTAATCCAAACATAAATCAAAGATAATACCTACCGAAGAGCTATTTTTAGCGAAAAATTAGTCCACTTCTCGGTCGTAGTGGCTCGAGCTTCCATGTCCTCTTCGCCACGGACCATAACCACGTACAGCCCGGCCGGATCCTTATTGACCAGCCAAACGAATCGGGGGTATCTCTCAATTTAGGTAGAACCCAACAAATTCTAGAAGCCAAGGGGAAGTTTGATAAAACCAAAGTAGCTGATTACTTGGACCATTACCACTATCAAGGGTTTATCACCTGATGCTGTGCAGTAGCGATGTGAGGAAAGTTCATGCGGAGTTGATGATTGAGAGCTCATGGGGTCACCTGTGAAAAACAAGGCTGGGTAGTTGCTCTTTGGTTGTTGTGTGAGATTTCCTCCGGGTGGACGACTTGGTCCAGGGGATCTCGGAAGAGCATAGATAAACTTGATCAATCTGGAAACACTCAGCAAAACTCGTTTGATTTCATTCAACTCCCAGAGAACCCGTGAATCGAAGTCGTTTTGTGAATCTCGATGTTTCTCACGTTGAGACAATCGTTTTTTAGTTGATTCCTTGTATCTCTTATACCTTTACCATAACTTCAGCTCTTTTTGTTGTAGTTTTGCACAATAGACAATCAAACAACCTTTCAAGCTGCAATTTGAGGTCAAGAATAAGTCCGAAGTTCACAGTGCAAAGAATATCCTAGTGCGCCGTTGCCAATAAGACAATTTGGAAGAGAATCGGCTTCAGAGCATGCTAGTTCCCATGGGTATCATACTTCCAAACTCATGGTAATATGAGAAAGGATCGATGGCGCTTCCATTCGCGCCAGCTGGTTGGTCTTACTCCATATTCCCACGCTATCCCGATAACTATCGGTCGGACTAGAAACTGTTTACCATGGCATAAAATTGCTACAACATCAAATCTTCTATCAAATCAAACTCGGGCCTAGACTTAGACCTGGAGAGATGTGCTTCTCTGGCACTGAGATAAAAGCCAGTGGACTAGAACTGCGTGATCAAATTGTAATATAACTCGCGAAAGAACAAAGCCTGAGTCTAGTCAAATCAAAAGGTACGGTACAAAAGAGCGAACAGATCAATAGAAGAATTTGAATCATTCCAAGAAGCGCTCATCATTTGTTATTCAGAATGTAGTACATTTACTTGAACTTCAGCCCTCTTACTCTTGATCTATCATCAAGAAATTACTTCTTGGCATCGGACTTCATACCTGCCTGAATCCATTCTCTATTTTTCTCTGTCGCAGCCTTCATTTTTGCCTCACGATCAGGGTCGTTCTTCAAAGCTCCGATATTGTGTGGATCTGGCACATGACGACCCTTTTCAACTGCAGGTCTCTTTTCCATTCTTTCATCCCATGCCTTTAGAGCTGGGAATTCCTCAATATCAACTCCACAGTAAAAGGCAGCAGTTACCCAACCCCAGTGAGCAATATCAGCGATTGTACATCTGTCACCAACCACTAAAGCGTGTTGTTAGTGATGTCTCTTGAACTGAATAGGGGTGTATGGCAGTGCCCCCAGCAATATTGAACAACCAAGTTGCAAGATATGCACAAGGTAGCTGATCACAAAGTAAGGATTGAGGAGTCAATTATACTTACAATAACCAGAGGTTGACTTTTCTAGATGGGTATTGAGAACAGAATACAAGCGCCTGGTCTCATTTGTATAACGATTGATACCATACTCAATCCTCTCCGGGGCATATTTTGAGAAGTGATTGGCTTGACCTTGCATGGGGCCTACACCCGCATTAAGGAAGAAGAGCTAGTTATCGTGTCAGTTTGTTTTGTTTTTGAGATCTAGAAAATCAAATGACCTACCCAGTTGTTGACTTCATAGTACTCTCTTGTACCCTTTGGGTATGAGATCTTATGCTCGGTATCATATCTTTCGACGAGGTATTGTTGAATGCTACCACTTTCGAACAGATTAATCTTCTTTCCATCCGTGAATGTATCGGTCAAAGCAGGAATTCGACCATTAGGATTTATCTCAAGAAACCATGGCTCTTTTTGGGTGTTCTTGGAGATATCAATCTTGTGTACCTCGTAGGAGAGACCAAGTTCCTCCAAAGTGATAGAGATCTTGATTCCATTAGGAGTTTGGGTTGTGTAGAGATGAATGTCTGATTGGGTAGCCATTTTGGGAGTGATATGAGAATGTAACTGTGTAAGACGATCGTTCATAGATATGAAATTGAAATGGGAATGAGTGAGATATATAAAGAATTCTTGGATTTTTGATTTGTAATGTATCTACATTTGAATGTCACATATGTGTAACTTCCCTCCGCTTTACCCCACCTACGTATGGTGGCAGGTACCTTACGATGATGTGATCTACGGAATTAAATGTTGATACTGCTGATCCATTTTATCTTACCAAGCTAAAATTGAAAAAACGGCTGTTAGGAGGAGGCTTGGCGGAAAATGCCGAACGTGGTATTTTTTCAACAACACATGACTATTTGGCAGAAAAAGTTCCCTTGTATGATGTATAACGTGACCAAAAACAATAAAGAAGTCCTCCTGCTGCCATCTTGGTCGTCATATGAACACGACAGTCTTTAGACAGGACAAACATGATAGTCTTTTGTTGAAGAATATCTCATATCACGTGAAAGCTGTACTAAACCCAATCAACACTAGCTCGACCGCTAAAGTGCTTACTCGGTAGATTCCAGACTTAGGTGCAATACAATCTTTCTTCTACGAGTATTCTTTTGTAAATCCTACAACAATATCAAAATCAACAACCATCGATAATTAATACACTCGCCAGAACATCATGGCGTGGAGACAACAAGGAAGCACTGGATCGAACAACATTCCTTTGGGAAACCGACGACGCTTCCCTGGCGATGGCGGATCTGCTCAAGAGGAAAGCTATAGCCCAGCTCCATCTTCCAATAATTATTCTTCCAACAATCACCAAGATTCAGGCATCAAGCGTGGAAGAAGTCCAACTGTAAAGTGTAGGTTTACCCTATCTAATATCGCAAACAATCAGTCTTAACATTTTCTAGCCGAAGAACCTGCAGGCGATGGATCTCGACGTCGCAAGAAGAGAAATCGTTGGGGTGATGCTACGGAGAATAAGGCTGCAGGTCTCATGGGACTGCCAACTGCAATCATGGCGAATATGACAAGTGAACAACTTGAAGCTTATACCTTACATTTCCGTATCGACGAAATTACACAAAAATTGAGAATTGATGATGTTGTTCCAGCGGATGGCGACAGGTAAGGAAGCTCTTTCTATGTGTGCTTAACAATAACTAATTATTTTTTCTGCAGATCTCCTTCGCCCGCCCCTCAATACGATAACTTTGGTCGCCGTGTCAACACTCGAGAATACAGATACAGAAAGAGGCTCGAAGATGAGCGACACAAATTGATTGATAAGGCTATGAAAGTTATTCCTAACTATCATCCACCACAAGACTATCGCCGTCCTACTAAGACTCAAGAGAAAGTCTATGTGCCAGTCAATGACTACCCAGAAATTAACTTCAGTATGATTGCTAACCCTCTAACCTTTCTAACCTTATTCTCCCTTCCATATCCGTTTTCATTTATCGTGTGACAGTAGATGCAGCATTTGGAAGACAAATGCATGGCACCGTCATCACTAACTTGTCGTACTCACTACCATTTTGCTCAAAGCTTTTGATCCTATACTAACACTTAGCTTGCGCTCTACTAAAGTTGGTTTACTTATCGGTCCTCGTGGCAATACATTAAAGAAAATGGAGACAGAATCTCAAGCTAAAATTGCTATCCGTGGAAAAGGATCCGTCAAGGAAGGAAAGGGTCGTTCCGATGCAGCCCACACCAGCAACCAGGAGGAGGATCTTCATTGTTTGATCATGGCAGATACCGAAGAGAAGGTCGAAAAGGCAAAGAAGTTGATTCACAACATCATTGAAACTGTAAGTCTTCGATACTCTCCCCTGCTATCCTCTTTCGATACTAATTTACAACAGGCCGCCTCTATTCCAGAAGGTCAAAACGAGCTTAAGCGTAATCAACTCCGTGAACTCGCTGCTCTCAACGGTACGCTTCGTGATGATGAGAATCAAGCTTGTCAAAACTGTGGTGAAATTGGCCACAGAAAATACGATTGTCCTCAACAACGCAACTTCACTGCCAACATTATCTGTCGCGTTTGTGGTAATGCTGGACATATGGCTAGAGATTGTCCAGATAGACCTCGTGGTGCCAATTGGCGTAATGATGGTCCTGCAGGTCCAAATGCTGTACCAGGTCAAGCTCGTATTGGCGCAGGCGATGCTGTTGACCGCGAATATGAGGTAAGCATAAACTCAATCTTGACTTCTATAGTATTAGGTATTAACAACTTTGTCTTAGCAACTTATGCAAGAACTTTCTGGTGGTGCTCCAGCTGCTACAGATGCTCCTCGTCGTATCGAATCTGGTCCATCAGGTTATGACCAAGGTCCACCAAAGGATCAAGAAGATGTCAAACCATGGCAACGAGGTCCATCAAACGCTCCTGCTCCATGGCAAAGAGGAAACGATGGACGTGATGGACGTGATAACCGCGATCCTCGTGATTCTCGCGACTCTGCGCCTTCTGGTCCTGCTCCATGGGCGAGACGAGGTGATGACAGAGATAGAGGAGGCTACCAAAATGGTGGATACAATGCTCCACCATCTGCTCCTTGGGCAAAGCAATCGCAAGCTCCAGCTGCACCAACTGGTCCTGCTGCTTATCCTGGTCAAAACGGTTATGCCCCTGGATATGGTAGTTATCCTCCTCAACAACCACCAATGGGTGCTCCTCCTGGTCTCAGTAGTATGCCAGGACCCCCAGGCCTTAGCACTGCTAGCATCAATGCTCTTCTTCAACAATATGCCAATGCTCCTCCTCCACCTCCTCCATCAAATTCTGCTCCTCCACCTCCTCCGCCTGGAAGTGCTCCTCCTCCACCACCACCAAGCGATCAGCCACCACCACCACCTCCTCCAGGAAACTAACCGTCGTCTTCTCACGTAATCAAGAAGACTACTTTCAATTATTTTTCAGCCGGCGTGCAAAAACAAACAATCACTACGC